TAATAATAATAATATAACAACTTCAAAACAACCTAAACAAACGTATACAAATAAAACCTATTGATGGGAAAATTTCCCCTGTACGGCTATTCATACCAGAGTTCCTTGATGTAGGAACGAGTTCTAACCAAGAAGTTGAACTGAGCACTTGATAAATGAAAATGTTTTCAGTCGCTTATAATTAGTTAAGACTTTGAAACGAGCATTTAATTCGTGTTGAAGCTTCCTTCTCTAACTGTTACCTTTAATGAAATTTGATAGAAACGTACACGTTTCAAATGAAATGAATTCTCGACAGGTAAAAGTTCTTCGAAAATTAGAAGAGACATAAAAAAGATGTAAAGGCAGAGCGAAATTAAAGGTAAATTACACAAAACATAAAGAGACAATAATAACAGAATGATGATTGTAAGTAAATATAGAAATATGATTTCGTAGCGACATTATACCAAAATTCAACGACCAAGAGAATTGTAATATTCAAGACTGAACTGAAACTAATGCATATACTGACTTATTTATAAATATTGCCATAAGAACGGTCAACAATACGATCATATCATTGTATTGATCAATTAGGAAAAGTTAAAGAAAATATTTTTTGAGTGCTTTTGGATGACGAAATCAAACAGCATGAATTATACCGGGCACACCGTTAAAGCAAATTGCAACCATGAAATGAAATGATCTTCTGATCAGCTTCAAAGCTCTTCAAAATTCCAACTACCGTCTCACTGTTTATCTTGCTTCATCATTATACTGCCTCGAGCAAATTCTGATCAACAAACTAATTATTAACAGAGAATGTTGTATGAAAGTTACTAAAAATTGAAATAATCCTAAAAATTGCTCTAATAGTACGTAAATCATAGAAATTGATTCACAAATCAGCGCATAAATTAAAATTTTGCATTTTACACAAGTAACGATTAAAATAACGATAACAATCGATCACAACAATAAAAATGAGCAATGAGGTCAGTTCGAAATTGTTCATCTCAATTCAGCGATTTGGCGAAACGTTCCTTTATTTTCGGCAATAACTTTATATGTTCATCAGCACATCCAGACACGCAACTTAAATAATCAACAGTCAATTGTTAAGAACTGATTGGGCGAATTAGTGGGAAATATATTTGAAATATACTCTTCATAAATCGTCACTGAATGAATTGAAAGCATCGTATTTGCAACTCTTACAGCTGAGAGTATTCGTCAATCCAGATAAAGGAACTAGAAGACGAGGTGATAAGCGTACATTGAACGACTAGTCAGTGAAAGTGGAACGCAGTGCTTGCATTGCAATTTTTTTGTATCTTCCAAGGGTAATCCACCGCTTCCAAGAAAGAGGTTGATATTGGATTCAAGAATTAGAACATAACTTACCCTTCTAACTGTTCGTTGAATGCAATCATTTGCGAGTCACTGTATTTACCTGGATCTGGTCCATATTTTTGAACTAATTTATCATAGCATGTCATCGCACATCGACTTAATTGACCCTCAAAATTCATAATTTACATTACTATTATGTCTGAGTTGTCTTTTTTTATGACATTGCAATGGAAAGAATCATCTCTTGGATCAGTACTTATTGCTCATACAATTACGCTACCACGAAAGTGCAGATAGGTTAAAACATTCTGGTGGGTTAATTGGTAATTGATNACTAGAACAAATTATGTAAACGAATTGATGAATGAATGAACCTGCAGTTCCCCAAGTTCACTTTCGAGTGTCGTTTGAGCGTTCTTCATAGTCGTATTGCATCGATCCACACAATTTTCAACATCTTCACGAGTCATTGACTTGTCATCACAGCACTTCGATGAGCACACGAACATCTTCTTCTGCACATCGCGTAAATATCTTAAATCGTCGTTTACTGCACGTTGTATTTTCAATTTGCAAATAATCACACGGAATGAGTGAATTTCAACTGAACATCTTCGACAACTTACTTGCGATCTATTTCATCGATCATACTATCGACGGCCGTTTTCATCCTTTTTTGAGTCGCCTCCATTTTGAACAGTAAACTTGACCCGAGCTGAAATTCAACTGATTCATAATGAAAACGATAAATTAGCAAGATGAAAGAGGACATCATAGTAAGACTGTGTGGTGAACACTTGTTTAAGCAACTGAATTTCGGGTTTGAGGTTAGACATCAAGCACCAACAAAATCTTGAGCCTAAACATGAAGGTTTGACCAATCCAAATTCAATTTTTGCACATTCTCAAGGAAAAAACGACGATATGAAGACAATGAACCACTATGTTCATACCGTATGTACTTTTTGTGCACGAGGACAAGTTGCTGATGGGGATAATAGAGGTATTGCCAAACATATTTCGAAAGTTGAAGCGCTCAATTCGAATGGGTAGTGATGGATGAGTGTGGGGAGAACGGATAAATGATGAAGCACAATCGATGTGAGAGAGTGTGTGCAGGGGGATACTGAAATTTTAGATGACGTGAAAAGGAAGGGACATTTGAAGGAGGAGGGGTGGATGAGGATGACGTTGTGAATTTAGTCGATAAACTGAATAAAATAAAAATATCCATAGCAGTTACCAAATCCAAGAATTGCGTCAGCTAGCCGTGTATTGGATAATGATGGGAGTGGAAGAAATTTGGGTTTGGTTTGTATCCGACGGTTTGAAATTCTGAAATTTGATACTGCGACCGAAATGTGGAATTTTCGGTCGACACCCGACCAAATTAATTACTGAAATTGCGAAATTCGAAATCAGCAGCCGATCTCAATGAATCGGATTCAGCTTTCCTTTCTTGACAACACGTTTCTTAATCGGAAAGCGGAAATTTGTGAGAATCCGACAGTTTGAAAAAATCAGTCCGTTCCCGGGTATGTGTGAGGATATAGATGGTATTTCTGATATTTGTATTGTAACACACACACATTCATCGAAATACATTGTGCAGTACTGAGCGACGTAAGGCAATCGCTCAACCAAATGATACAGGTTTAGGAATTTGGGCATTCATCTGGAAATAAGCACAGTCGCATGAAAATATTCATATTGTTTTGAAACCAGAGAAACTGGAGGGGTCAGTGATGTAATACGTTACGTTTAAATAGGGAATACAGCTAGTTTGAATATGTTGAATCATTTATATGCAATGAAGTGCATACGTATGGTATTAGTGATATTCTCAGCGTAATACATAGTTTGATCATACAAATACAACGGATCCAAATGAGTGCAAATGCATTAGGCAACCAGCTCATATATCTCGGAAACTGAACAAAATCTCGTAATACTTTTACTTTTATGCTTTTTTAAAATTTGAGAATATTGAGAATCTGATGGAATGATGAAACGCGCATGCTTCTGTGCAAACTTGAGCATAGCGATACCGATATTCTAAGGTAATGGTTTGATCAACATAAGCACAATGTGTTGGAATGAATGACAGTGCAGACTACTTGAGAATTAATGAATGAACTCGAGCTGAATTTTGAAAATGCATCGATTGAACGAAATGATCAAAATTTTCAAAGATTCAT